AGGGCCACCCGGTAGCCTGGCTTGCCGATGAGGCGCTCGGCGCTCTTCTCGGTGAGCCACACGTGGCGGTGCTCTGGCTTGGCGGTCATGTCGGTGGGGTCGGCCAGCGACTGCGAGTGACTGCGGTCGATCTCGATGGCATCCCAGTGCTCCTCAAGGCGATACAGAAGGGACTCGGGCGTGAAGGGCGGATCAGCTGCATCAGAAACACAGCATGCCCTCGCACTGCAGTGCATGCGACTGGATCTGTTTGGCTTACTACTCATGGCGACGCGCTGGCGACGGCCGGACAGCACACCAAGGGATGTGTAGCACACGCTTCTGTGACATTCCTACCGCGGCAATGCCAGGGGATCCTCCGCCCCAAGCCATAATGGCACTGCGAGCCAGAACTGCGAATCTTGAGCGAGAGATGGCTCGAAGAGGCCTCCCCGTGTTCCACTGCCACCTTGGCATGGTGCCTCCCTGGGAGTGTGCCACAGTCACCCAGATCTTGTCATCTTGCTGTGGGTCGTGGGCGAGTTGAAGAGAGATCTGCAGCAACACAGCAGCCACAGAGAGAGGTTTCAAGCTTCCGCGGTTCCGGGGGGTGCGGAGCAAGCGAGAGCGAGCTTGTATTCGACCATTCGAGATTCATCATTTCGCGTCCCGATGGCTGGCACTGACTCACAGGTGGGGCGCTGTGTTGCCTTACATGGCCTTTTCTGCCTGATCTTTGTGTTTGCTTATGTGATTCAGAGTGCTTGGATGAGAGAGGCCGCGCCAGTCAACGAGCATCATGACGGCAACCAAACACAAGTACGTGAAGCACCTGTGCAGATCCATGATGAGTCAGTGCTGCAGTATGATCCCGTGTCTGTTGTTGGTCAGGCTGGCCTGTCACTCACTGCCGCCCCTGCAGATGAGTCACATGAGCAGCAAGAGGGATCACCCGTCGGGCCTGCAAGTGAGTCGACAAGATGCCGATCGCGTTTCGCTTCGGACGATCTGTTGACTGATCCACCACCACTAGTGCGCACTGGCTTGCAAGTAGGCAGACTTCAGAGGCGTCGACGACATGCATGCGTCTGCCTTCCTGGTGCTGTCGTTCACTTCAGCCCTCTAGTGGTGATTTTTCATTGCCGGTGCCATCAGCAGCTCCTGGCCCGCCCGCTCCGGCCGTCGGGCAGCCAGGAACAGCGCAGGTGAGGCAACAAGCTCCAGTCTTTTGTCCTGTGTGAGTACATAGAAGGCCTTCTTTCCGCTCTGTGTATATGTGTCTGTCAGTATCCTTCCGCCTCCCCACTTCCTCGTGCCATGCCACACATCGGTCATGGGATAGTCATCACGCAGTGGTCGTCACGCAATCGCCTTCAGTCCCTCCCGCCATCACAGCCTACAACACCAACGACAGCGCCGTCCTCACATATGGTATGAACCGACAGACGTACGCACACTTCGTCGAATCATCGCACTCTTGTGTTTGTCCAGGTGACGACTGGGAGGGCGGGGGAGGTGTGCCTTGGAGAGCGGCTGCAGGTGGTGGAGGAATTCAATCGACGCAAGCAGAGCGGGGAGAAGATCTCGATGCCTCAGTTCGCACAAGAGAAGGGCGTGACCCTCGACCAACTGAAGAAATGGTGCTCTAAGGTGAAAAAGCAGAGGGAGTCGGGCGAGCATGTGATGGACCTCAGAATGAAGCGCACCAGACCCCCAAAGTATCCGCAGATCGAGGATGAGATGAGGAAGTGGATGGCGGGCCTGGATGATCCTGCGAGTGTCCGCACGAAGGACATCCAGGCTAAGGCGCTGGAAATTGCCCTTCGGCTGGGGATCAGCGACTTTACGGCAAGCGATCCCTGGGTCAGGAGCTTCAAGGAGCGATATCAGCAGGTAGGGTGCGGGATGAGGTATATGATTGTCTCTCATTCTCTTTTGCTGTTTGTCGTCTTCGCCGAGTCTTCCTTTTCCGCATCAGCCCGCCCTTCCAACGCCCATGGCCTTCACTTGCCAGTCAACAGCAGCATACACACCCGCGAGCGGATTGCACGAGTCGAGTCTGCAGCCGCCTGCACAGGCGAGGCATACGCACACAAAGACATCGAATGCTTATCCCTCATCCGTTTTCTGTTGCCCGCTGCTTGCCTGCGTTTCCAGAGCCCGTATTTGTCACCCGATCCACCTGCTGCCGCCGCCGCCGCTGCTGCTGCTGCTGCTGCTGATGCCGCCCTCTCTGCTGATGAGAGAAGTCCGCTCGACCCATCATGTCACGTACCGATCAGAGAGGACGGGATGCAGCCGTCAGATGTAGGAGAAGGGCAACTACACGACTGCTGGTTTCGTCGTACACACATTGTCTGTGTGCTTTGTGTGCAGGCGCTGGATTGGCTCAAGACTTACTTGCGTGAAGCCATCCAGAAGTCAGTGCGCGAGGAGGACATCGCCCACAGACTGATGTGCACTCAGGTGTAAAAGACTCAAAGGATCATGTGTCATGGATAGATCTCTGTGCGGTCGATCACCAGGTCGTTGGGGCGCTGCTCGACCAATTTGATGTATTGAGTGTCGATGAGTCTGAGAGCGATGAAGTACGCCTGCATGCTGTTGTCACCAATGCCTGTTGCTCACTCTTTCTACTTCACACAGGTCCGTCTCCTTGCTGGGCGCGTCAGCGAGCACCTGCAAGAGCTCTGTTGTCAAAGTGAGCACCAATGTCACGTCAGGGCCATCCACGAAATACGGTGTGTCTGGTGTCCTGTTATGTGTTTTAGTGGATTGGCCAATCAACGTCACGGCGCCTCAGCAGACTGTCCCCAGGCCGTCACCCGCCCCACCTCCTGCTGCTGCTGCTGCACCTGCTGTGGGAGTGGGTCAGGGGCCGCATGGTGTGACTGACAGGTCCACCGAGCCTCGTCTGGCCCAAGATATGTCCACACACAGAGAACAGGTCCTCCATTTTCCACATACATAACGGCCTCACACGCATATCGCGTGTTGTGTGTGTGTCTGATATCAGAGTTTACCTCTGGCCGAGTCCGTCCCCCAGCCTCTACATCCCCCTCTACCTCCACCCCTTCATCCCCAAATGCAGCCTGCCCACGTGGGCAGGCCGACACCTCTCCCTCATCAGGAAACATCACGAGCACCAAGTCAAGCGTCTGACGAGGAGAGTCACTCTGCATACTTGCGCGCAGCGGATGGCTTCATTGGCTCACTTGAACCGAGCATTGACACGGTACAGACAGCACTCACACACCGAAGCAGGCAGAGACCCGGAGGTGAGCTGATTGGTTGCAGGCACCGAGACGTCCAGCAGAGCGTGAGGCAGCAGCCACTGTCGATCAGCAGTCTGAGCACACAATGAGCGTAAGCAAAAGAGCTGCTTTTGGCACCAAACGGGTGTGTCACGTTTTGTTTGTTCAGGTGGCAGCATCTGAGAGCGGGCTGACTGGGGTGAGACCGCCGGTGAAGATCCAGAGGAGCGACAAGCGCAGCCATCGGGAGGCTCCACCCTCCGTGGTCAGTGGAGTTGAAGAGATGAGCACGGATGCAAATGGGCAGCCTTTGTCTCCGCATGTGCAGGTGCTGTCCCGTTCGTGTGCCGAGAGTGTCATCAGCGTCACAGCGGATGACTGCCTCAGTGACGGCAGACAGAAGGCAAGACCAAAGAGAGGCAGCAGCTCTGTTGCCAGTCTCATTGTTTGTCTGGCCTTATCACTCTCGCTATCTGCAGGTGATTGCGGGAAGCAGCCTGAGTGCGCCTGAGTGTGTGGCCCTTCACTCCCTATTCGTGGCCGACTCGGCCATATTCGACAAGTGCCAGTTCACATGCCTGTACAGGTACATACATGGCAAGGCAATAGAGAGGATATCAGGAGGACCACCAGAGGCTGTCTTTGTGACCCCCTTGTCTGACAGGGCCTCTGTTGACGGCAGCGGCTATGGCGATCTCCTTCGCTGTGTCGGTGATTTGAGCAGCCTCGTGTTTATCCTTCGCAAGAATGGCGATCTTTTCGGCGCTTATATGGGCAAAGAAATCAAGCTGCCCAACGACTCCGCCCTTGTCAATACTTACGAGTCTGGAGTGTGGCGTTTTTCCCTCGGAGACGCTGCGGTTTATGACGACTGGCCGTTTGTGTGCGTGGCTGGCCGCGAGGGGGCTGTGGGCGGAGTGGCAATGATGCAGTTAGGATCTCGTCTTTGCTTGGGCTATGGAGATCGAGATACTGGCCCTGCTGATGACATGCGCAGCTACGGCCTTTTTGCCGAGCCGGTAGACTCCAGGCTGAGGATGGATGAGCCGTGCGAGTCGTCAGAGGTTTTCGTCGCTGACGAGCTGGAGGTGCTTCGCGCCGACGCACCAGCAACAAAGCTATCACAGGTCAGAACGACAATGCAGGCCAGGACTGCTCTGACTGCTTCGTGTGTTTTCTCGACAGGACTTCATTGAGAACCTTCGGCGCCGCAATCTCTTCATCTACAACATCCCATCCGACTGGACGGACGATGACCTTGTCAAGGTTAGACACACAGACAGACAGACAGACAGCCAGACAGCTAGACAGCCAGACAGACAGACAGACAGGCGGGGAGCAGATGACAGCTCTCTTTGTGCGTTTCTGCAGTTTTTTTCGGAAGTATGGGAATATCGTGTCACCGAAGGTCGTCTGTGATGAGGACACAGGGCGTTCGAAGGGCTACGGCTTTGTATGTTTTGACTCGCCCGATGCGGCATCAAACGCTATCGACGGCATGGACGGCTCCGTTATCGACGGCAAACGACTCAAAGTCCAGCTAAAGAAGACACGCACGCGCCACTCAACCGTGTGGACGCGGGAGAAACAAGGTCAGGTGAAAAATCACCTTCGACAAACCACGTACAGCTGTGTCGTGTTTGTGGGACGGTCCCGTAGATGTGGGAGACACTCATGACAAGGGTACTCAGCCCACGTCACTCAATGCAGCGCAGCCGCCTCTTCACGCCCATTCTCATCAGGAACCCCAGGAAGGTGAGCACTAAGTCTCTGCTCGTGTGTATATGTGTGTCTGTGTGTGTATGCAGGTCGCAGCGACAACCCGCCTCGGAGAGGAGGGGACGGCGAGCAGGGGACGTATCCGCCAGACGTAGGAGAGAGATGCGAACTACACGCCTGCTGATATGTCGCACCCGTTTGGTCTAATGCAGGCGCTGGACGAGCTGAAGTCGTATTTGCGTGAGCTCGTCCTCGAATTACGGGAGCACAGACTCACCCAGCCGCAGGCAAAGAAGCACCAGTTTTTCACGGCTGATGAATCGGTGAGGACGACTACTGTGTCAGCACAAAGATATGGCTGTTGTCCTTGTGTGTCTCGTGTCTTCTCTAGCCCGTGGCTCCCGACCTCCGCCGCATTCGTCAATTCCCAGAATTGCACAAGGTCAATTAAGGCATGTGCACAACGGAATTGATTGACCTTATTCGCTTACTGCAGCAAGACGAGTATCGTTGGTCCACTCCGGAAGTGCGGGCGTCTCGGTGGGTGCGTGACGTGACTCTGAAGCGACATACCCACGTGTGTGCATTTTCAGGCCCTGTTGCAAGACAAAGCTCCCCTTCGCTCACGGCAGGCAAGTCTTCGGACAGGAGCCAATCGAGGCCAACACATTATCCAATCGAGTCGCACAGAATGACCGTACCAGGGAATCGGAGCGGTCCGGCGTGTTTATTCGTGCTTCGCCGCCATCACACCCAATCCCCCAGGCGACAGACAGCCGATTGCAGCTCCCAGCACCGTCACATGATACTCTGCCCAGGGCCTCTGTCAAAGATAACATGTTCTACAAGACGCAACCCTGCAAGTAAGGGAGAGCGAAGCACACTCGTACAGCCTGCACTGGTCGCCTGTGCTTCAGGTACTGGTCTGAGAATCGTTGCCAGCACGGCGAGTCTTGTCGGTTCGCGCACGGCCTGCAGGAGCGGCGACCGCTCCCCGACCGTAAGCATTGAGACGCACCGACAAAGTCGCATTACCACACGCATTATCAGTGAGGTGGTGGCTGTTGTCAGTGAGCAAGACTAAGCTGTGCCGCGACTTTTCGGCGACGGGGAGATGCGACCAAGGGGCATCCTGCCTGTTTGCTCATGGCCACCAGGTACATGCAAGACAAGCCAGCGACCAAGCAGATAGTGCGTTGATACTATTTGATGTGCTCAGGAGCTCCGATCGACTCCCAACATCTTCAAGACTACCCCCTGCAATTTTCATGAGCAGGGCTACTGCAATCTTGGTTCTGCGTGTCGATACGCCCACGGAGTCGACGAGCTTCGACGGCGACCGGGCGATGCCTCTAGACTGCCACGGCTGGCTCCGGCGACGTCATCCATGGCGATAGGCATCGGCGGCTCCGCACTTCCGGGCAGGGCGTCACAGCGACAGGTACATGAGGAAGGGAGAGGTTAGCTTTTTGGCACTTAGTCTGTCCATCTCTCTGTTTGAACACGCAGGCCTCTCCATCTCACTTCAACGGGCCGGGACATTCAACTAAGGCCTCCCAGCAAGCTGATGATTTGAATCAGCAGCCACACCGGGATGAAGAGGGCGGCAAGGAAGCCGAGACGGGCGGTGCACAGTCCGCTAAACCTTCCTCACAGCCTGAAGGTGGTCAGGATGAGGGCTATGAGGGAGTCGTCGATGGCCATAGCGGTACGGCTGAGTCAGCCGATGAGGTCTACAACGAGCCACCCGTCTTGCTCAGGTCAGCCTGCCATATACAGACACAATACGTGACGCCGACCTATATGTACGTAATGCAGATACAAGGACGTCTACGAGTACTACGACACTTACACCTCACTGATCGAGGCCGAGGCCGAGGATATAAGGAGCCGCAAAGAGTCGCAAAGACAGGTGGGTGAGTGGGTGGCAACATGCCAGCGCACGCTGGCGTCTCTCTCTCTCTCTCTGTGTGTGTGTGTGTGTGTTTTATGTGCAGACCAACATCACTGTCCGTTGGGAAGTTGCGTCGAATCGTCGTCGCACGGCCATCTTTCTACTTCCCCAGGACGAAAGCAGCATGCGCCCTGTCGTGGGTGATGAACTTGCAATCAAATACACCTACAACGGTAGGCACCTTTCTGCTTAGTGATTCTGTGTGACATACTGGTGTGGGTGCTGTGTGTTGTGTCAGGTGGTGAGGAATGGAAGCAGGAGGGCCACGTCAAGATGATCACACCTCAGTGGATCACGCCACATGAGGAAGTGGTCCTCGAGCTGCGTGGTCCCGTTGGCCAAAACGTACGTGCGTGCAGCACATGGATGGACGGATGGATGGCCACATTTTTGTCTTGATCAGGGTCCGTGGGAGCACGACATCATACAGCCCTACAGCGTGGAGTTCGTCTCGAAAGCTGTGAATATCGGCCGGTGGGCGGCCCATAGACCCACACAGCAATGACCCACACCCACACGCAAAAGACACACACACAAGCCGCCTGCACATTCAGGATGAGGGGTGCCTTGAATTTGCTCGCCCGTGACGAGACCTCGGTCAGCAACTATCTTTTCTGTAAGCTGCTGGGCAATCTGATTGGCGATGACGAAGTCAAGGAACCTACTATTGAGTATGTCAAGATACGGCTCCAGCACACACCTGATGTCATCTGGGTGATGCGAATATGTATCAGGCCGACGCTGCGGGGTGACTTGTCTGTCTCCGGTTTGGCCGAGCTGAACCGTTCGCAGGCCTTCGCCGTCAAGCAGGCGCTGCAGTTGCCACTGTGCCTCATCCAGGGGCCGCCAGGCACCGGCAAAACCCTCACATCGGCCACGATCGTCTACCACATGTGCAAACAGGGACAGGTACGTAGCAGCCCACGACACAGCTTTCGTTGCTGTACGCACCGTTTTTGTATTAGGGTCAGGTGTTGGTATGCGCACAATCCAATGTCGCTGTGGACAACCTGGCGGAGCGGCTGGATCGAGCACGCCTCAAGGTGACACAGAGAGAAGCTGCACACACGAAGAGACGACGATGCAGCGAGCTACCCATCTGCTTATTGCCACCCGCCCATGTGCACTTCCACAGGTGATCCGTTTGTACGCTCGCGGCCGCGAAGACGCGCAGTCGAGTGTGAAGGATCTGGCCCTCCACAGTCAGATCAGGCGCATTAGCAAGGCTGGTTGGGGTCCCGTGCAGGCAGAAATTGCCATGCTTGAGAGACGGAAGGTACACACACAGAGCCCACACGAATTCAATTGCGTCGTTTCTCATTACGCCATCTACCTTCCAATGGAACAACAGGAGGAGAGAGGCGCGTTGCAGAATACGGATGAGTATAGGCTCAAGAAGCTGCGGGGCAAACTCGAGAAGGAGCTGCTCACTGCCGCCGACGTCATCTGCTGCACATGCATCGTGGCAGGCGACCAACGGCTCGAATGCTTCAGATTCAAGCAGGTCAGTGTGTTGGCCTCACTGGCGATATGCGTGTGCATCGATCGGTCTGTCAATCAGGTGCTGATTGATGAGGCAACGCAGGCGATGGAGCCGGAGTGTCTCGTGCCGATCGTCATGGGCGCCAAGAAGCTGGTACTTGTCGGCGATCAGCGCCAGCTTGGACCTGTGGTGATATGCGAGGCAGTTAAGGCGGGCCTGTCGCAGTCGCTCTTTGAGCGACTCATCCACCTCGGAAACAAGCCTATCAGACTCGAAGTATGCTGGTCACACACACATGCGCACACAGCGTCTGATTGTCAATTGATGTGTGACATGTGCAGGTCCAGTACCGAATGCATCCGTGCTTGAGTGCATTTCCCTCTCAGTTCTTCTACGACGGCTCACTGCAGAACGGCGTCACGATCAGAGAACGCACCTTTGAGAGCCTTCACTTCCCCTGGCCGAAGTACGCGACAATCAAGCAGAACGATAGACAGACAGACAGACAGAGGGAGCAATTAGGCTTTTTTTGCATCGATGTGCGGATGCAGCAAGGAGATGCCGATGTTCTTCTACAACTGTACGGGTCCCGAGGAGAAGAGCGGCACGACGTTCCTCAACCGCACGGAAGGCGACCACATCAGGGAACTCGTCACTTGTTTCCTCAAATGCGGACTCAAGTAAGCACGCGCACACAAAGCATCGACAAAGACGAAAGAGGGACAATCTGTGCTACACGTGCAGGCCGCATCAGATTGCCGTCATCACCCCCTACGAGGGCCAGAGGTCTCATATTGCGGCGGTGCTGGATATGGCCTTAACCTGGGAGGTCTTCAAGGGCATCGAAGTCGCATGTGTCGACGCATTCCAGGGACGAGAGAAGGACTTCGTCATTCTCTCATGTGTCAGATCGAACGAAAACCAAGGTCACGCTGACACATTTAACACACTCGCCCATATATCATATGTGCGGCTGCTGGTGTGCAGGCATTGGGTTCTTGAACGATCCTCGTCGTTTGAATGTGGCTATCACACGCGCGAAGTACGGTCTGGTCATCTGCGGCAATGCCGACGTCTTGGCCGGGGGCAATGTAAGCAAATGATCGACCAACGGACCGCACGTATGAAAACGCATGTCAATGCGTCGCTCGTTCTTAGGCACCATGTGGTCTAGCTTGCTGAATCATTTCAAGCAGTACGAGCTGGTGGTGGACGGCCCGCTGTTCAACCTGAGGCCTTCGTCCATGCCTGTCCCATCACGAAACTGGACCGACGACCGCGCCAATTCACTCAGATGTGGGCGGCATTTGCGCAATGATTGGTTTTTCTCTCTGTCTCTCTCTCTTGTGTGCGAACACAGATGAGATGTCTGACTATGAGCGCATGCGGCCCGCCGGCCCATTCCAGCCACTTGGGTACGCACACCAAACCATCCACGCGACACCTATGCATGTACGTGTGTATGTGTCAGGGGGCCGCCGAAAATGCTCGCTCCTCTCCCGTGCCCCGTGCCCCGTCAGGACGCATCTCTTCCCCCTGCCCCCAGCAGCAGCATCAGCAACAGGAAGGTGGTGATAGCCGTGGCGGCCGACACGAGACGGCCACGAGCGGGGGCGGCAAGCGGTTCACACGTGCCGAGCTCTTCGCGTTGGCCAGGCTGCACGAGCAGACGGCCTCGAGCTCATCAACGGGGATCGTCGACAGCAGGAAAGCGGCAGACGTCAGTGCCGGCGGTGCACTCGGTGTGTGGGGGGCCGCCAAAAGTGAAGCCGAGACAGTCGATGGGAGCAGCACCGAGGCGCCCAACAATGGAACAGAGGGCCAGGCGAGCGCATCAGCTGCAGAAGCCAAGACGGACCATCCCTCACCGAGCAGACAGTCAGCCACCACACCAACTGCGGGCTCTTCACCAGCAGTAACGCTTTGCGAGTTGCTCATGCTGGAGTTCATTCAAAGCGCATGTGCCAGTTTCTTTTCGAGACTACCGGTGTCGACTCAGCGCCAGACGAGAACAACAGTGGGCAAGACGGAGAGGAGGAGAGTCCAGATGAAGAGCTCGAGATTGAAGAGCTCGAGATGCAGCTGCTGCAGCTTTATCAGCAAAACAGGAGCACGTGGCCACAGTCGATGCGTCTGCCGGCGGGGGCGACGAGTATGGAGCGACAGGTGCAGCAGGGCAGATTTGTGTGCTGCGCCAGGTGTGGCGAGGCGGGTGCGCACGGGGTCGAGCTGGGCACCTGGGACGAACAAAACTGCCCAGGTAGCACCACAGCGAGAGGCCCCCTTGGTGCTGGTCTAATGGACTGTGGCTTCTCTTTTGTGTTCAGCCCGTTTGTGTTCTCGCTGCAAAGACTACATCCGGTCGGAGCACACTGACACGGTAACATAACATCAGAGCTGGGACTTGTGTCGGGTCGGGTCGTGTGGGATGAGGGACTCTGTCTGTGTGTCTGATTTCCCTGGATCAGGTGCAGCATCCAGCGAAACTCGCGCGCAACGAATGGCCAGATCAGGGCGTCCTGGTCACCTGCATCGACTGCGGCAACCTGGGCCACCTCAACTGCCGCCAGACACCGCAACAAGACAGCCTCACTGCGCCCCGGTGCTGCAACTGTGGTGCTTAGGGCCACACGCAGGAGACCTGCATGGAAGCGAGACCTGAGCATTACGTCGCCGCTCGGTTGGACACAGGCAACCTCAAGGCGAGCGACGCGTCTGCCGCTGCCTTCAGGAGACAATGCCACCCGTCACTTGTGCCACGGGTGGGTCAAGCCCTGAGATATCGAGCGCACACCCACACACAAAGGGATCGAGCAATTGCCCTCACCCATCCCCTCTTTTCCGCTGCCTGCCTGCTTGCCTCCGCAGAGCCCGTCCCTGTCATCAGATCCATCTGCCGCTGCCGCTGCTGCTGTTGCCGTTGCCGAAGCCGCCCTCTCTTCTTCTGACGAGGGAACTCTGCCCGGCCCAGAATGTCACGGACTGACTGAAGAGGGCGGGACGCACACGGCCGCTGCTGCCGCGCATCTGTCACGACCACCACCAATCATTGAGGATCGCATTCAAGAGATGTTCGGCTATCCGGATGGGAGCCAGGTCACCCACTTCCCTCTTGCAAATCGTGAGCACACAGGGGATGTCTGCTGGAGACCCTCTCACGTGTTGGGGCTCTGTTGGTGCGATGAATGAATAATGATGCAGGATTAGACAAGACCGAAATGTCCCCTTACCACCTAGAGGTGTGCGAGAATGAGCGAACAGACAGCACTTATTCATTTGGACGCGTATCATTAGGGTGGTTGCTCGAAGGGGCACACTGCACCTACGCCCACAGCGACCACGAGCTGGGCGAGATGCCGGGGCCTCCCGCTCCTTCAGTCCGTCCGGTGTTCGGGCACGTGAACGGGGGGAGAGACGTCCGTTCAGTCGGCACGGCTTTCCATGCTTCGGGTGAGCAGCCGATCAATGGGTGATGGTCAGACATACGTTTGTGCGTGCGTCCACCAGGCACGTGTCGCCCCTGTCCACACGAGTGGACGACCGGCTGCGAGAATGGCAGAGACTGCATGTTTTGCCACCATGATAAGGAAACGTTGCCTCGCTGCATCCCGGAAAAATGTCGTGCGAGTTGGTGCGTTGGTCCAGAGTCCCACGCACCTTTTGAAGAAAGGCTCATCAGACCCACCATGTTCGAATTTTCGGCTGCATCGCCGTTCGGCAGTCAGCCGACCAGCGCCACGGCCACGAGCGAGGGCGGCAAGCGGTTCACACGTGCCGAGCTCTTCGCGTTGGCCAGGCTGCACGAGCAGACGGCCTCGAGCTCATCAACGGGGATCGTCGACAGCAGGAAAGCGGCAGACGTCAGTGCCGGCGGTGAACTCGGTGTGTGGGGGGCCGCCAAAAGTGAAGCCGAGACAGTCGATGGGAGCAGCACCGAGGCGCCCAACAATAGAGCAGTGGGCCAGGCGAGCGCATCAGCTGCAGAAGGCATCACCGTCGGGGCTCCCACGAGGGACGAGCGCTTATCATCGGCCGACATCACGTCGACCAGCGAGACCAAGTCAGCCACCGAGAGCTTCCCTGGCCCGGTGCTGAGCCCCGCCTCAGACGCAAGCACTCCCTTCAGCCCGCCTGTCCCGTTTGATCCCGCCATCGGCGAGAGGACGATCCACCTGCCAATCGACGGCATATCCCCTCTGTCATCGGTCAAGGGAAGCGACTCTGTTGCAGTTCTTCTCAACCGTCTCAGGCAACACACGGCTTCCCGCAAGGCAGACGGAGGCCCGGTAAGTTCGGATGGCCCTGTTGCTACCAAGGCGTCGCAGGATAAAGAAGGTGCAGATGGAGGTGATCCCAAGCGCTGCGATGCAATGAGTGTTGCCTTACCGCCTGCTGCCCTTCCAGCTGCTGTTGTCCTTTCTCCTTTGGACGGTAGAAGGGCGGTCGGCACATCTCAGGAAGTGAGCAGAGAGAGCGGATCGCAAGGTCCTGATGACGTCACGCAGCCGCCAGAGGTAAGGGATAAAGGCTCATTGCACCACTGTTGATGTCTGGATATGAGTGTGCTTCACTGCAGGAACAAGTTGTTGACGACGGCCGTCGCATTGACTGTCCAGGCGACGCCGAGTCACTTGCTGCTGCTGCTGTTGTTGCTGCTGGTGGTGTTGCTGTTGCTGTCGACCAGCCGACGGAGGCCCGCGACACCATGAGCGTAAGCTACGCTGATGCGCACTAGTTGGCGACAAGTAGAGGTGTCATGCTCTGCTCATCCAGACGGCTTCTTCTGAGAGCTCTCGGCGACCTCCTGTACACCAGGTGGATCATGATGCCACAATTGGTGGATCACTACAGGTTACAACAGCAATACAAGGAGTGCTGCTCTCATTTCTTCGCTTTCATTCTACGCGCTTCATTCCAGGATTTCATCGAAAATCGCGAAGGGCGTAATCTCTTCATCGGCAACATCCCGTCCAGCTGGACGGACGATGACCTTGTCAAGGTCAGACAGACAGACAGACAGACAGCCAGACAGACAGACAGGCGGGACGATAGCCACCTTTTCAGGGTCAGGTAGCCAGGCAGTGACCGAATAATTACCTGCCTTCTTCGCTTGTCTGCAGCATTTTCTGCCATACGGAAGCATCGTCTCAGTGAAGGTTGCCTATGATGAGGCCACTGGCTGCACCAGGGGCTTCGGCTTCGTCTGCTTTGACTCGCCCCAAGCAGCATGGGACGCCATCGACGGCATGGACGGCGCCTATGTCGACGGCAGAGGGCTTCGAGTCCAGCTGAAAGAGCATAGGGGTTGGAGGGCTGACCTGTACGACCGCAGGGACTGTAAGGACGCATCACGTAACGACGACCTTAGCGCGCAGTGTGGCCATGGCAGTAATTCCTTTGTCAGGCAATTTTGCGTACGACGGAAACAGGGAGAAAGGCGGTTTCTCATTTGGCAGTGTTTCTCACGCTTTGGGTGGGCGAGCCATACAGTGCCTGGAGGTATGATTCACATCCTTGCATGTGTATGTTCATCAGGCAAGTGTACTCCCTGCTGGTACAAGTGGACGACGGGCTGCCATAATGGCATTAACTGCGACTTTTGCCATCATGGTAAGAACCAACTGTGCTACCGAACTTGTGTGTGGCTGGCTGTGTGTCGGTTCACTTGGTTCAGAGTCACACGCACCGTTCAGAGGGGTCCAAGCCGAACCCAACGAGCCCTTCATCAGTCAGCCGTCCCCTCCGCCCGTCGATTCGCGAGAGAGGGTCATGGCGCTGCTCAGCAAGACCGGCCGCACCGACGTCAGTCACAACACGGGCCCGCTTGAAGGCGGCAAGAGGCTCAGCGTTGCTGAGCTCTTCGCCGCGGCCAAGCTGAACGAGCAGACGGCGTCACGTCCATCGGTGGAGATCATCGAAGCCGGGCAGGCAGACAACGGTGCCAGTGCCGACACTGTCGACTCGGCCACTGCAGAGGCACCCAAGCAGCAGCAACAGCCACAGCAAGGCACGAACGGGGCGGACAGCCAGACGGACGCGCCAACAGCATCAGCATCAGAACCACCAGCATCAGCACCAGCAGTAGAAGCCAAGATGGAACAAGCGCCAGTCGATCCCAGCGGACAGCACACCACGACCCCACAAGAGGAGGCCAAGCAGCAGCAGCCTAAGGACGCCCAACACCCAGACGCCCGAGAAGCCGTCGACCATTCGGCACCGTCAGCCATCGCTCTCCCAAGCGAGACCGTCACTTTTGAGGCTCCCACCAGCAACGAGCGCTCATCGTCGGCCAACCTCACATCCAGCACCGAGGCGGGCAAGTCACCCATCCCGCCTGCCCCGATCGATGTCAGCATCGCCCCCACAACCCCCACCGGCATCGCCACGCCCGAGGGAGATGGCGAGAGGAGCGTTTGCCGCCCCACAGGCAGCATCCAGCCCCCAGTAGCCGTCCAAAGCAGCGACTTCGGTGCAGCTCACTTCAGGCTCCTCTGCAACATTCCCATGTCGCCACACGCGCACACCTCATCCGGCGAGGAGAAGGGAGGTCCAGCAGGTTATTCCGAGGCCACAAGTGGAGTGCTGACTACTGGAACAAATGCATCGCATGAGGAGTATGCTGCAGACGGAGATGGGGGTGAGGCCGGCAAGGGGAAGGGCAGGCCTCGCTCGTCGCGTCTGTCATGTGCGTCTGTATGTATGTCATCAGATGAGGGCTCTCAGGCCGCCACACCCACGCATCAACATCCCGGCCTGGACACCATCAGACACCGCGACGAGCTCGGGAATGCAAGGTAGGCGACGAGCCATTATTCGGTTTACGTGCGGTCCCTCGCCGTTTATCAGTAGGCGGCAACGGCTGGTGGGCGACCTCGAGTTGCCCAAGATCGACGCGGCCCAAATGGGCATGCCTAGCGCGCCCTCATATGGACTGCACCAGCAACCTCACATCCAGACCAACGTCGCTGCCCAAACCGGGTGTCTGCACGTCGAGAACAGTCACAACACCGACACCACTGAGGCGCCCAAGGATAAAGCGCCGGATCAGGACAACGTACGCGCTGCAGAAGGTACCACCGTCGCGACTCCCACGAAGAGCGTACGCTTATCATCGGCCGACATTACGTCGACGAGCAAGGCCAAGTTAGCCACCGAGAGCTCCCCTGTCCCGGCGCTGAGCTCCACCCCAGAAACAAGCACTCCCTTCAGCCCGCCTGCCCCGACTGGTCTGAGCCTCGCCACCACGCCGCGCAACGGCCTCGCCACGCCCGAGGGAGAGGGCGAGAGCAATGTTTGCCGCCCCACAAGCGGCATACGGCTTCTATCAACCGTCGAACGCGGCGACTCGGGTGCAACTCTTGTTAGCCTCCTCTCACACACGTCTTCCCGCGAGGAAGAGGGAGGCCCGGCATCCTGCACAGAGGGCACCAATGGGTCAGCGGGCACTGCGGCATCCTGCACAGAGGGCACCAATGGGTCAGCGGGCACTGCAGACGGAGAGGAGGGGGAGGGCAGGCCTCTGGCGTGTCGGTACACGATCGAGGAGCTCATGAGGATCGGTCAGCTCCCGCAATGCAGAATCAGGCCGCCAAACCTTCACCCATACCTCGACAAGTAAGCCGGGCCAAAACCAACACCTCAGTCATTGTTGCGCTGCGTTTGGGTGTGTGTGTGCGTGGTTGTGTAGGGGCTGCAAGCCCCTGCCCAATCGGCCCTGCAAGTAAGAGAGAGAGGGGGATATTCACTTACCGTTTTCACTCCCTGTCCCACTGGTTGCTTCAGGTATTGGTCACGAAGTCGCCGTTGCCCCGCTGGCCACGCTTGCCCGTTTAGACACAGCGAGGAAGAGCTGTGGCTCCCCGATTTCCCCCCGATAAGCAAGGCACAGGTGAGCGCTCAAGGATCTGCGACTTCGTCCCCTGAGTGCCTCTGTGTTGCACTGCAGGGACAGGTTGCTGACGAGTCGGATGAGGTGCTGATGCCGGGTGGATCCATCGGCCGTGGCCCCCACAATGTGGTGAACGAAACCGGCTGACAACACGATAGCAAACGAGACCTCTGTGTGTTTGCCTGGTTGAGTGCAGACCTCCACCGGCCCAGCGGAAACCGAGTCATCTGCTTCTGACGATCAGCAATCGAGCGGCGAGACTGCCAGCGTAAGCCACGAGAGTTGCTCTTGTCGACAAGCAGACATATCGTTCTTTGTCAATTCAGATGGCCCCTCCGGACAGCCGCAGCGTCTTTATGCGTGCTTCGCCGCCATCACACCAGATCTCCCAGACGACAGACAGTCAACTGCAGCCCTCTATCAAAGATAACATGTTCTATAGGACGCAGCCCTGCAAGTAAGGGAAAGCAAGGCTAGCTGGTCTAGGGCCTGCACTGGTCGCCTGTGCTTCAGGTACTGGTCTGAGAATCGTTACCGCTCTCCTGTCCCCCACCACGGACCCGAGGAGCTTCAACGGCGAGCCAGTGATGCTGATGGCCAAGACGGCTCCGCCCCCCCAGCTGCACAGGCTGTCGAGGTCACATCCGCAGAGGGCGGCTTGGATTCATCGGCGAAGGCCGATGATTGGTTCGACTGTGATGCCGAGCAGGATGCGCCCGTCCTCGACCTGACGCACATGAGGAAGACCGACACAAAGATAGGGGGCGGGTGAGGGCCGCGTATGAGACTCAGAGTGTGTGTGCGGCTTGTGTGTGGCTTCCATTTTTGTGCTATGTGCTTTGTGCTTTGTGCTTCGTGGTTTGTGTGTGCGTGTGTGCGTGTGTGCGTGTGTGCGTGTGTACGTGTCTACCTGTGATCGACGCGGCTTTTTTCCCGCATGACAGCCCATAGCCTACGCACCAGCATTTGATGTACGACAGCTGTCGTACGACAATCGTGCGATAGGTCGGTAGAGGGCGCTGTTGGGGTAGGTAGACGACTTTTTTGGATCGTGAGATGGATGCCGGATGCCTGTAGGGGCAGGGAGGGCAGAGAAGTGAGTGAGAGTTGCGTGCGGATGTGCATGCCCGTCGCATTGTGTGTGGTGGTGGGGGGGGGGGGG